AGACATTGGATTTATGACACATTATAACCTGCCTAACGTCTGACTGCCCAGGTAATTCTACTACCTACCAGCTATATTTATTTTTCTTCCCTCCCCCACCCAACCTATCTCCTACCCACTGACTCCTCAATTTCCATCTTCACTGACTGCCTTTCATGCATGCATACCAGCCTCTGGCTGCTTTACTAGTCATTCCACCCAGGAAGAGCACACACCAACTGCAGATGCTTCCTCAGCCAGAGGAAGGGTATCTATACCCAAAACTTGCAAGGAAGAATGTTTCCAACTATTTGAGTTGGTCTAATAAAAGATATCAGATTTACCCAATGAACCTTGTCTGCTTATGTCCTTAGAACAACACAGCTACAACCTATACCCATTAACTTATTTTAGCTTCTGTGCGGGGAAAAAAAGTAAACCATTTTATTTGGTCTTTGAGATTATATTACAACAATACTGTGCCTCTTAAATACTAGATATACTTTGGTAACAGATGAAGGTCTGGATCCTGTACGATGCTAAACACTCTGGCATCAATCAGGCAAAACACCCAACCTGAAGAAGATGACTAGTCCCAGTGGAGAAGTGCCAGCCTACACCAGAGGATCTGGCCCAATATACTTATTTCAGATACTTTTGCAATTATTAGCTATTTTAAATAAATAAATAAAAAGATAATCTCTCTCAGACATAGAGACAAACTTTTTATCAAGGTCAGAGCATAACATCACTCAGGTTAAAACAAACCAAATGAACAAAAATAAGATGGTCTAGATTTGCCACCTGACTTAAGCATCAACTGTATCATTAAAGATCCAACTTCTGTCCAGTTATTGACAATTTTTCCACTGACTTCAACATCAAAATTCGTCTGATGAGCCAGATCTTTTTAAACTTACTGCATATTATTTAAAGACCAGATGAACGATAAGCAATATATAAAATATTCTTGGTTTTCAGGTCAGGCTTTTATTCCAGTTTAAGCCTGCACATAGGATTCTACCTCTGCTAAGTCACCATAGGTAAAAAAAAATAAACTGTTTACCTGTATTTTTTGCTGAACAGAAAGGTAAACTCGAAGGACTTCAATGCTACTGCGTATTCGAACTGATGCTCTCTCTGGTTCAAAATTTGGATTGATCAAATCAGTAAAAGGTTCATTTGTGACATCATTTCCCAGTAGTGAATAGTAGAAGAAAAAATCAGGCTGTCGTTCTGGAAGTTTCATTGTAGTAGGAATCAACTAAAAATATGCAAAGGAAAAAAAAAGTATTAACATCACAAATACAGTAATCTTCTAGTATTTTCTTAGAAGTTGTAATCAGTTAAACATCTTCTGCAGTCTGAGGCAGAAACTGACTGAAATCCCAAGTGGCAAACTGCATTTTACGTCAAGAATGGCCAACCTGTACCACAAGCGCCACAAATGGCATGGGTAGCCTCTGTGGGTGCATCCAGATGTGCATGGATGTTTGGTTCCACAGGAACAACTAGCAGTGGTGTACCTTGCATTGCAGCTACTTGTTCCCGAGGAATACTCATGCCATACGCACTTTGGCGCACAACAGCTTCACCTGGGGTCCTGGGGGCCTCCCAGGGCCACAGCCGTGGTGATTCTGCCATGCAGACCCTGGCTGGGTGCTGCAGCACAGCTCCAGGCAGCCCAGCTCTGCTTTTGAGCAGCATGCACTGCCTGAGCATTTGCTGTGCCAGGTTGGACAGCAACTGGTCAGGGATGTACTGGGGTGTAGCTATGCTGATATTCTACTGCTTTGGGGCTTTGTGGATTGGTCCCACCCCCTCTTTTCTGCTACAGCCAAGGTTGGGAACTTTGACTATGGTGTGCCAATGTTCCTTCTGGGAGCAAAATCAGAGGTTCCTGGCTAGAGGGTCTTGCCCCTCCCCTCAGTGTCAGATTGATCACCATATTTGGGGTTGGGAAGGCATTTTATCCCATGGTCAGATTGGTAAGCACTGTAGGGGGTTTTGCTTTCCTCTGTAGCAGGGGCCATGAGCCTCTACCCAGGACCTCTTAAGCATATATTGTCAACATTTTACAGAAGCAGGACACTGACAGCTGTGGTTCTCCTGCTTTACCTGTTGTAGGTTAGGGTGTTAAGTCCGTGTTGTGTCAGGGCTGATGACAGTCTTATGCATTGTTTATATTATGGTTTGTATAGGATGCTTTGGATTGGGGTGATTCTGCCTCAGGCAGCAGTTGGACTAAATGACTTCTCGAGGTCCCTTCCAGCCATACTTTTCTATGACTTTAAGAAGCGCTTTGCTCCACAGTCCTGATGACTTTCAATAGGGCCACTTGTGAAGTAACAATAGTTTGTTTTACCTTAGGATTAGAGACCTCAACTGAGATCCGAGATCAAGGCTTCTCTCAATACACTGGACTCTGTATAGTCAAACAGTGAGAAACAGGCACTTCCTGACTGTGTAAGATCTCAACAAACAAGCTCAGAAGGCAAAGATGTATAGTGACTTGCCTAAGATCAAACAGGTCAGCAACAAGGATGGAAAGAGATTCCAAGTCCTCCAATTCCTACAGAAATGTTCAATCCACAAAATTATTCCACCAATAAGAGAAAAGTAATCAATGTGACAAAACCTGGACCTGACTGTCTCCAATCATTGTCCTTTTAATCGAGCCACATTTTTGCCTCCCCTTAAAAACCTGTCATGGTAAAAAGGCTGTATTTCAATAAGTTTTGCAGAAAGTTCAAATGACTTGAATTACAAATCATTTAAAGGTTACTTTGATCTGGAATTATGATTCATGTGTCATAACTTCATGTTCCTCAACTTCAAAAACAGTTATTAATAACTTTCTACCTTGTTAAGTCTCAGACACATCTCTGGCTATATTTGAAGAACCAGGCAATTGAAGTGATTAATTATTTCAGATATTTTTGAGTCCTGTTGCTTTCTAGCAAAGATACAGAAGCTTTAACCTGTTGGTTTCAGTCCCTTGGAAAAAATAAACTGAGCAAGCATGGTATGCAAAATAACATATTGCCCTTTATTACCTAAATCTTAGAAAGCACTGTAAGATCTTTTATCTGACTCAGATGAATTCTATTCTTTCACAGAAAATCTAACACTATAAACTTATTTATGCTCAAATGTAGATAGTGTATCATTAAAAAGAACATGTACACTAAGACTATTTATAGATGAGATTTACTATGTAACGGAAGTCCTGTACCAGGAACAAGACAAGAAATGGATAGAATACTGTCCTCAAAATGACTTTGGGCTTAAAGGTGTATTGTTATTATTACCTGTTCCAGTTGTGTAGCAAATGCAATAGTTACAGACAAAACAAAATAGTCTCTGCAATATTCTGCTGGTCCAATCTGATGATAGCCCTCTTCTTCATTTAGGACTGGTACAATAGTTTTAGGGTCTAGCTCAGAAAGAAGAGCAGGTACTTAAAAAGAAAAAAAAAAAAGAATAATGAATACAGCTGTTTTCTAGATCATCACGGCAAGGTGCTTCTACATAGTTTATAAAAGTAGAAAAGTTCAAGACTCCAGATGCTAATGCTTCACAGAATTCTAATATTAAAAAAATGGAACTTGCTTCTGAATACAGATACATATTATTTCCCTTTAATTAGATTCCACTTCAATGAATGCTGATATTAATTTTGAGAGGTTTTCTTTTCTGACATGAATACAAAAAGGTGTAAGATAGTGCCAGCACAAATACTTAATTGATGGAAGACATGAAAGTTCATTCAGTAGCCTTTTGGAATTTTTCTTCCTTCACCTCTTCTTTTCAACTGAAGAAGCTTAAAAAGTCTTATTTAGCAAATCTTAGGAAGATAGACATAGAAACGTTAACATACACAAACATAGTAATTTTGAATTTAGATTTCTCAGGTATACTTTCTGACAACAGTGCAAATACAAAACAAGGAAATCATAAGGCAAAGTGGACATCAGTTGCTACCAGTGTACAACTTAAAATTTTCCACATGAAGCAATGTGGTACCTGGCACCCTTAAAACTTTCAGCATCTGGTGGAGAAAGTGTGAACAACTGGTGAAGTTTTCACTAATAAGAGTCTGAAGTTTTAAACAGATTGTTTCACTCTTTGCTCTCTAGCTTAAATCCTAGGACTGTTGGCCAGTTTCTATAATGAGCAGTACATCCCTGGAAGATACATATAGTAGCTGCAAGTATAGTAAATCCAAACATACCTGAAACTAAGATAACCCTAAATCTGGTCTCTATAATTTAAAATGAGGGGGAAATTATTGGAGTCAAGAACGAATGAATTAAGAGAAAAACTTACCATGTTTTAAACTCCATTGAGGATGTACTTTACTAATCTTGACAAAAGTATTTGTGCATGCTTTAGGATAGTAGAGTGAAGCATAAGGATGAGAGAAAATTAGAGTTCAAGAGAAATAAAAACAGAGCTTGTAACATCTGACATAGTAGGCTGTAACCTACGAAAGCTCATTCCTCTCTGAATAAATTAGTCAATAAGGTGCCACAATGTTTTGCTTTATGCCAAACTACAGACAAACACAGTTAACTAGCCGTGTCTTCCCATGCTTATATTATATGCAATTTACTATACTGTATAAAGATAAATGGCATGCAGTGTTCCTGTTAATAAATAAAATCAACATCCAATTTTTCCCCATGCCAAGGAAGAAAACAAGCAACCAAACTCTATTAAGAATGGCACTAGTATAAATGTTGTAAATGAAATGCATAAGCTTTTCGGAAGAGAAAGGAGGTGAGAGATGAATGCTGAAATACCAAATAATGTTAGTATTCAGGCATGCTAGTTCATGGGAGTTGAACCAATGACCCCGATGTTCCTTCCAACTCTATGATTATTCTTAAAAAAGAAAAATCACTAGACCAAATTCAGTACATTGTAGAGAGCTTCTCCAACTATAAACAAATCCTACCACTGTCAGAGCTACTTCTGGTGCGGAAATGGTAACCAACAGGTTCACAGAACACTAGACAGTTGATGATCACACGAAAAAGGGCATCAGAGCAATAGGTTAAAGCAGCAGTGCCAAACCTTTTCATCCCATGAGACAGATGACCAGTGCCATTTCTGTCTGCAGAGAGGCCCAATTTAGCTATGTTCTGCTTGGAAATTTGGTGGTGAGGGAGAGGTGGCAGTATTAACTGACACCATGCTCCTGCTGCCAAATTTCTAGACTCATGGGGAGTCCTACAGGCTAGATTACATTGTCTGTGGGAAGGAGTTGGAGCACCCCGGCCTAAAGTAGTCAATCTTTTTAGACTCAAGATACTATGGAAAACTAGTGATTTTTCTGTTGCAAAGAACTTAGAAAGATGACAACAGGTTAGAATGTTTCTAACACAATGGATTCCTAGATAAAAAATCTCTGGGTTTACCTTACAAAAAATATTTGCACACCTAACAGTGTTAACATTGCATGAATCAAGCTTGAAAGGCACTCCAGTGTGCCACCCTGGTTAAGAATCACTGGGATAAAGCTGGGGTAACGGGTAACCACTGAGGTAAGCACTTATCTTATCAAAAATCTCATAGGATCTTTAAAATCAGAATAAGAAACTTGGTTTAAGGCCTCATCCACACACAAGGAGCTGCACCAAACACAATTAATTTATTTATCTCAAGAGGGATGAGATATCTCAGCAGGGTTAGCACTCAAGCCAGCAAGTCTGTTGTTTTAAACCTGATATTTTATTGTACTAAACCTGAACTAAACAATACTAGACTAACCCCTCCAAAATTTACAAGTGTATTTTCACCTAGGTAGATACAAACATGAAATACAATCTTTAAAATTCAGAAAAAAAGAATCAGATAAAAATATTCTGAGGAATGACAGGTGCAACCCTAAGGACATGATGATGGGAGAAGAAAATATATAGCTTAAGTGTTCTAGGGGCCTCCTCTATCCCTCCATTACGAATACAACTGGAGGTCATTCTTAGATGGGGAGAAAAGCACAGAAGTAAGAGGGATTTCTTAGTTTCTTTTTACTGTTAATTTGGCTTTGAGAAGGAAAAATAACTGACAAAGAAAAACTGCCTCTTGGAGTTCTCCAACTTACCCTGGATACATCAAGACATACAGCAACTATTGTTCTGAGATTGCAGTCTACCTTCCCAGTTCGATAATGGAGGTATAGTTTGAACTAGATTTTGAAGAGGCTGTGGGGAAACTATTGGTCTGGGAGTCAGAAAATCTTTTATCCTTTAGGGCAAGATTGATTATCTGTCTGATGGATTTTTTTACCCCCTCATTTTTCCTGATCATGGAGGCTTGGTTTAAATACAATAACTTAGAACAGGATTAAAAAAAATAAAGACAGAGTTTATAATTTGTCAAAGCTGCATGAGATATCCTGAAGGTAAAAGAGTAAAAAGAAACAGAACTAGAGGTTAACATGTATTGGAAATTAAGAAAAATAATTTTTGCAGCTTAATTTGACATACGTTCTCATTTTATTTCAGAGGAGTGGGGGAAGAGAATTCACTGGTGGGCCAAATGTTAAAGGTCAACTTTGAGGGAAGCAACCCTGAGTGCTGGTTATTTACAAAGATGTCAGTTGGTACTAAACTGGATGGTATGGGATGGCAAACTTGGATCTGTTTTCATTTCTTGTATCCTGATCAATTCTTATCCACATCTTACAGTTTACAATTCAGATTTGTTACTTCATGATCTGGAGTTTCAGCTATTTAAACTACTCCTTGTCAAGAAAAAAAGAAACCTATTTCTTTAACTTCAGAAACCCCTACATTACCAAAACCTAATAAAACTGGAGAGCCATTTTAAAAACAATCCCACAACTTCACAACTCTCCTGTGGTTTGCATCCCAACTCAACTTTGAGCCTCACAGCTTGCAAAACAAGCTACTGTCCGCAAGTAATTTGAACTCATAGTGCATGCGGGTACTGTTATTTTGTTATAACATTTTCACAGAAAATACTCACAAAGTAAAAATGCATTTGTCAGACAAATTTACCATGTGCAGCAAACTATGCTCTTCACACATTAAAGATTTTTTCTAAATAAACTTAACGAGGTTTTTATTATGCTTTATACCTTTCCCTTCTCTAGGAGGTGCCTCCTTTGCTCTAAAAACATCCACAGGTGCTTTCGTATCAGTTTCCAATGTCAAGCTAATCTGCATCTCAGACTTAAATTTAGTATATTTGTTACTGAGCAAGGGGTACCATTTTGGTGCCTGCAAAATAAAAAGATACACAAAATATGATCCAAAAAGTAGTAACAAATAAAATGGAAAAGAAAAAAGAGTTTATTATTATTATTATTATTATAAGGTAAAATAATCTAAGAGACAAGTCATTTATTCATAAAATTATTATAAATTTTAGATGCGTGTTTATTTTCAAAATGTCAGACACTAACACTGATGTGGACCAAACCTTTCTGCTTTACAGTCAAATAGAACTAGAAAGTAAGAAGGCTGCCTCCCAAACACTTCCAGTAATTTTAATGGTTAATTACATTCACTTAAGAAAAACAAAACAAAAACTATGCTAAACTAAACTTGTGGATATTTTCTAGTTTGAATCAGATACAATATGAAAAACAAATGTATCCAAATTCAATTTTGCAGTTCTTGAAATTTTTTTTTTAAATTTGCAAGTACAAAAGAACAAAACCAAACAAACCCACAACCAAACAAACCCAACCTCACACACATTTAGTTTTGTGCTCTCAAAGCAATCTCTAATGGTCAATTTAAAAATATTTTATCATGTGATAAAAATGATGTATTCAAAATGCTTATCTTCGTATATGTGCAATTAAAACATCTTTTTAAAAAGTTCTGAACTAGATCATCTAATGAAGGAATCTACTTTCTTCAGAAAAGGATCTGAGAACTTCCTTGTTCCCTTCAAAAGCTTCCAATATATTTTTATAAACAAGAAATCTAATGTGCATACTGTCAAAATGTCAGTTACTAAACACACCTGTTTCTTTTCTTGGGCAGCTCTTAAATCTAATACAATGTAGCCTATGCTATCCTTTCTTGAAGATACAGGATCCAAGGCAAAACACTGGAGCTTGATAGGTGTTCGCTGCAGCCTAAAAGACCACCCCAATAAAAAACAACATGAAGTAGTAAAAATGTCTGCTGTTATACAGCAGCTGACAAATAATTCACAATACATACAAAATGCATCAACTTTTCATAGGTTTGGAACTAGTTATGACTAGGGACCTACTCAAATTGTAATTGCACGGATTTAATGGAAATTGCAAAATTGGGCAATCCCTGTGGAATCTGCAGGAAAAACAAACAAACAAACAAAATCTTACTAAACATAAAATGTTGACTACCCAGTGGGAACCAGCAGTCACCCCTGGCCGTGCAACCCGACAGGAAAGGGGCTACCAGCATGAAGGTGAGCAGGAAAATGGCTCCGCCCCTACCTTTCATTGCTGAGTGGCTGAGAGGAATCCCTGTCTTATGGCCCTGCCCCTCTTCAATCAGCAACAAGGGGTGGGGCTGCATCACGGACAGCCTTCTCAGCCAATCAGTGACAGGGACAAGGTCACCAGGGGCCACTCGGCCAGACACATGGGGGCCCCACCATAATAAGGCCTGTGAAAATGGGTTCTCATAGGATTTTTTTACCACAGACACAGCACAGCATCATTCTTTCAAAGAATAATTCTTCTACGTTAAGCCTCCCTGCCTCCCCCACCACAATCAGTTCAGCAAAACAAAGAACTTTATGCTCTTTCACCCTTATTCTTACCTATAGCAGCAGTATCCTCAGATAAATTAGTTTCAGCATGTAATTAAGTATATCATTAAAGCGAGTAGCTTCAATTCTAACATTTTTAGTGGACAGTAGCTCAAACACATACCTTTCACTAACTGTAAGAGACACAATAATGACAAATTAAACTTATTCTAGATTTAGTTTCATAACGCAACCTGTGCTGATGAAGTGCTTTCCTATCGAGTTCCCAAGCCAATTCAGTGGCAAACTCTGGCTGGTTTGTGTGATCCACAGGATCAGTAGACAGCTGTTCACCATCAAATTTTGCTTCTACGACAAGTGTATGCTTGGCACGTTTAGGAAAATGCCGTCCTAGAAAAACAAAAGCACAGAAATGATATCTCCACTTGGGGAAGAGAGAGAATGTATTTATATCACAAGACAAATGTATAAAATATTTCCTTTGTCATTTAGCCCACAGTTGTTTTAATATCTCAATATACTTCTTTATTATTATTATGAAAACCCTTTCCTTCCCACCATCCATTCACAAAAAATAGATATTAGATCTCAACACAAAACAGACAGTAAAATGTATTTACATTGAAAAGAAGTTTGCACATATATACAAACTCTTATTTATTTATTTGTGCAATTGCCATATGCACATGAACAGTAACTTTATTAATTACTCCTACTCCTTTCAATAGAACTTTCCCTATGTAAGTAACTTTATTTTCCCCCCAGAAGTGTGACATTGGGCTTTTAGACAGGAACATCTTTGGTACCCCACCTCCATTTCTCAAAAATCTCTTCACTGCTTAAGTGGATGATGTACAAATGCTTCCTAACTCACGGATGCTTTGCACCTGGAACACTGTCATCTGGCCTGTGGGGCTCCTAATAGGTCTATGGGGAGCCCTGCAGGCTGTGGCCCTCTATGATAGATCAGGTACGCAGGGCCTGATCCCAGCATACAGGGCTCAGTGACAGTGGCATAGGGCCCTGTGGGCCTGATCCCAGCACTCTGAACTATCCAAATCTGATATACAAGTTTCTAGTTCAGGAGAATTTCTTGAAAAAAATTACTACATTTATGGATGGTGTAACAGGGGACCTTGCCCTGTTACTGACAGCAAGAAATTGAAGACTGTGCTTTTAAGATAAGCTCCTCAGAGGCCAGAAGAGGCAGGCTGTAGCTATATATAGCCTGCACAGAACCAGAAGGGGTAGTCTGACTTGGGCAGCGCTACAGGAAGGATCTTACTGCTGGGAGAAATATAGAAGTGGTACAGGGAACTGCAGACTGACCTTGGCTGTGCTAGCTGAAGGAGCTCCCTGTGCTGAGTGGGTAAGCAATATGGGACACAGGGAATTATGAGTAGGCCCAGGAAAGAACAAGCTGGGAGAAGCCAGAAAAACCGAGTAGAAGCCTGGGGAAGAGCTTAGAGAAAGGCACCCCAGCTGCATTTGATTGTGCTTCTGTTGGGCTATGTTTGCTGTTTAGGTTACAAAGGATGGCAGTGGCTGAAGGTGAGGAAAGGAGGCACTGAAGATGTCCCACAAGAGGGATTAGGATAACTGAGTTGGGCTGCCAGAGGACCCAGTGATCCAAAACCCAACTGTCTGAGCCTGAGAGACTGTGCAGGACTAGCATTCAGAGATGTAACAACAACTGAAGGCATGGCAGATGAGGGTAGGGTGGTACCTGGAGTGAGCCATTCCTGTTACTGGCCTTTGATTCCATTATGGACAGGACTGAAAAACTGTGCAAACTGCCAAAAATTAATGTGAAAAGTTACTGGTCCAGATAACATTGGTATCCCCTCTCCCCGCCCCCCTCCAAAAATTGATCCAGCACTTCTGTTTAGCCTTGCAGTTTTTTTCTTTCAAAACTCTCCCCTCCACTTAACCCCAAGACAAGACAAATGGAGCAACTCAAAATATAACATTTATAATATCTGACAACCTAAAGCTGAGGTCAGCAACATGTAATCTGCATGTCAGATGCAGCTGGACAAGCTTTGCTTAAGCAACCTACCCAGTTTTGGGATCCAGCAAACTGTGAGGAGCATCCAGAAGCACAGCGTGCTTCTGGATGTGTGGAAGAGCTCCAGCAACAGCATGGTCCATTCTGTGCCAAATCTCAGGCAGCAGCTGCAGCAGCAGGGCCTGGGACAAAGGCACCAGCATGTCCCTGACCAGCCCAGTGTTCATCTAGAAGCTGTTTTTCATCAAATGCCAGGCTGGTTGGGGACAGGCTGGTGCCTCTGTCCCAGTTCATGTTGCCATCCAGTGAATGTTGTAGAATGACATGTGGTCACTGTGGCTCTTTAATACATCCTGAAACAGACTAAGCTTTGGGATACACTTTGCAGCCTTCTAGTCCAAGTTTGCTGCATGCTAGGGAATAGATCCTAGGGCAGGAACAGAGGATCCACCATGTCCCCAACCTGAACACACAAGCAGACCAGTCAGATAATGATCCATGTGGGGCTGTGCATGCTCATCTGTAGCAGGTGGGGACCTTCTGTTTGCAGGAAGGGTGTTGGGAGTGTTGCCTGCCCCCACTCGCTTTGGGTGTACAGGGCCTGGGACAGTCTCCCCTTAAGAAGTGAGAGTCCAGTAGCCCTCATACTTGTGAAGGAGCCACCTGCTGTTGAAGATCAACCCCATAATAAATTATACATTCCAGCCCAGGCGTGGATCAAGAGGCAGGGGGAGGGTGCACTGGTGCACTTGCACCCCCTTTTGATTTCTGCTTCACCCAAAGCTTAAAACCAACTGTCTGGAGGTGATAGCTCCAAAAGAGACCAACTCAGGAAGGAAATCACCACATGCTACAACAATTTAAAGAGAATAATCTAGACATCCTCCCAGATATTATACAATGGATACAAAGAGACTACAAAAAAAATTTCTACAACATCCATCCAACATAAAAAGAAGAAATGGAACAAATTACTTCAGGAACAACCTTCCCAGCCACAGAGCAACCATCAGAGAAACAGCACTAAACACCTTACAACATTCCAACCTCAGACTTGATGAAACTAAAAGCAGCAACCAACCCTCAAATACCATCACTCTCTCCACACACACACGTAACAAAATTGAAAATACGTCCTTTCTAAAAGCCTAAATTTCTGTCCAGAAAAATGCCCTAATAAAATACTTCAATGTGGAAAACCAGAAGAATTCTGATGCCTCTGCCTCAAGCAATATTTCCACAACCAAAATGAATCCACTTCCAACAACTCATCCTCTCACAATACTGAGGAAAAGATCACCCCCCTGCAAAAAAAAAGAAAAAAAAGAAATCAGATTGGACATCTCACATAACTTTGACCACTATATCGACTGCTTCAGGGAAAGAATAAACAATGAAATAATCAACACCGCACAGCATCATAACAACCTCTCCCTATCAGAGAAAAAGGGCATAGAATCTCTAACATCTAACCGCCGAGTAGTAATAAAACCAGTAGATAAAGGAGGAGCCACGGTCATCCTTAGCCATGAAGACTACTACATAAAAGAAGCCAACAGACAACTCTATGACACCACCTATGAAGAACTACAGGAAGATTCTACTCCCCTTTTCACCCAGAAACTCAAAAATACCATCAAATCATTTCCATCAGAACTACAAGAAAAATGACAGACCTTGATCCCCCACTACTTAATCCAGGGACTTTTTACATGCTCCCTAAAATCCACAAACAAGGGAACCCTGGCAGACCTATCATATCCAACCATGGAACCCTAACGGAGGAAATATCAGGTTTCATCAAATAAATCCTAAAACTGCTTGTCACCCAAAGAGCGAGTTTTGTCCAAAACACTACAGACTTTCTATGAAAACTTAAAAACATAGACCACCTTCCCAGCAACAATCTCCTAGCCACCATGGATGTTACCAGCTTATATACCAACATCCCACACCAGGATGGCATCCAAGTCTGCCTTACATACCTACAAGAGCAAGATGACAACTCAGAGTACAGACCCAAAGACATCACTGACCTTATACACTTCATCCTCAAAAACAGTAATTTCACTTTTAATAACCAATACTTCCTCCAGATCCTGGGCACAGCTGTGGGCACCAAAATGGCCCCACAGTATACCAACCTTTTGATGAACTACCTAGAAGAAGAATTCTTCAAGGACTACACCATCAAACCCTTGCTATACTTAAGATATATCGATGACATTATCATTTGGACTGAAAACCTGCTCTCTCTGACTGAGTTCCATCAGAAATTCAACAATCATCACCTCCCCATCTGACTACCTCTTAAATAATCCAGCACCAACATCTCCTTTTTAGACATGATGATGATCAGTATCCAGTATGGTAAAATACAGACCACACTATGCAAGAAACCTGCAGACCAACATACATATCTGGACAGAACGAGCAATCACCCTAAACACACCAAGAAAGCTGTGATAGACAGCTAAGCCCTCAGATATCACCGAATTTGCACTGAGGAGAACACCCGGGACTGCTACCTTACCTCACAAACCTTAAAAAGGCTTTCAGTCAACGAGATGGATCACACGTTTGAAAGAGCCACCCCCCGGATACCATGTGAAGAACTGCTGCAGTACAGAAGGAAAACCCCCACGAATCACACACTGCTGATTATAGCATATCATTTCTCCCTCAAACCTACATGGAAAATCCTCAGTTATAACTCATACTAAAAGGAGACCCAATTCTTAAAGAGATCTCCCAAGAACCATGCATCCTACCCTTCAAACAAGCACTGAACCTCGCTAACCTCATCACCAGAACCAAACTTCCTATGGCCCAAAACACACCGAATGGATCCAGGCCATGCCATGAAAAGAAATGCAAAACTTGCCAACATATCTTCACACAATTACTACACCCCACAACAGAACCACCAGCATTCCTGGATCTTACAGCTGCACCTCCAGAAATGTTATACATCTCACCCAATGGATCAAAAGCCCTAATGGAAAATACGTAGGTGAGACCAAACAACAAGTGAGCACCAGAATGAATGCACACCAGAAATCTATTAAAGACAAGAATACCCAATTACTGGTGGGGGCACATTTCTCACAAGAAAACCATTCTCTCTCCAATCTCTCAGTTTTAATTCTCAAAGGGAACTGACAAAACACTTTTCACAGATGAGTCTATGAACTTCACTTCATCAACCTCCTGGATACAAAAAATCATGGACTAAAATATAGACATTGGATTTATGACACATCTGACTCCCCAGGTACCACTCCACTATTTACCTGCAACATTCATCCCCACCCCTACCCAGCCTCTCTCTCACCCACTGACTCTTCAATTTACATCTTCACTGACTAGCTTTCTTGCATGC